GACATTGTCAGCATGGGCTCTGTTGCCAGAGATTAATGTGTGGCAAAGGAAGGAAAAATGTGTGTGTGTAAGAGTGCACTCTGACCTACTCCGAGGGAGTTTCCTGTGTGTTTGTAAAACAGTTACTTTCATTTTGTTTCTCAACTTCTTCCCCATGGTGTTAAAAACAAAAGGTTTGGCAAAGTTCCCACTGAAAAATTCCAATTTTCTTTTTATGCCCTTCAACCAAAAGTCCGCCTAATCTTGGAGTTTCATCAGATAAAACACTGAATATCTCAATCTTAGGATTTTTCTATTCCAAAGCTGAATGCAGCTAGGGGAGTGAGGGAAACATTTTTGGAACCAAATGCTGCTGTTATGAACCACACACCCCTACATCTGATGGACAGCGCCCATCGCTGAAACTTTTCATATTCCCAAATCAGTCAAACAAGGGAGAGCAGCTCTCCTAATGCCAGCTATCAATTTTTTTCAAGAGAGGACTTTCTCCTTCTGTGAATCTATTGAAACATTTTATTAAGAAAATGAAACAGTAGAACACAGAATGCAGCAGAGAATCTAGATTCAGAGAAAACCATGGGTTAAGAATGAGGAGCGATGGCAAATATAATTAAATACAGGGGTAGGCTTCAAAAATTTTAGCAAGGGGTTCTCTGCCAGGTTGCTGAGTAGCCATGGTGGGTGTGGCCTAGTTAGCCTCCTGCACCATGGTGGGGGGAGGGCGTTTTTGCCCTCCCCGGCCTCTGAAGGCTTTCCTCAAACCTCTGGGAGGGCAAAAACAGCCTCCCCAGACTCCGGAGCCCCTCTAGAGGCCTTCTCAAACTTCCGGTAGGCTCATTTTTCACCCTCCCCGAGCCTCTGTGCATGCCTTTCACTTACCTACATCCAAAATGGTCAGTGTGGAGACTCCTGGGAGGGCCTGGGTAGGCGGGGCCAGCCAGGAGTGGGATTTGAGGATTCTCCGAACTGAACAGGATCTTAACTAGAGTTCTCCTGAACCCCTGTGAACCCCCAGCCACCCACCTCTGATTAACTATCACAGTGCAAAACAGCAAAAGACTGATACAGATGATAAAACCTGAGATAATAACATGGTTTTCACAAGGCAGTGGAAAAAACCACAAAGTGAGTGCCAGGTAACCTCTTTGGTTGCGCCAGGAGATAAATGGTTATTCTGCGTTGAGTGTGGACCCCTGAAGATAAGCCTAGACCAGAGTTCCAAATGTGAACAATATCGGGGGAATTATCCAAGGGGTTGATGAATGGCTGGGGAGGTCAAAAGTACATTTCTGGGGGTCAATAGATGGTTGAGAAAGGATAGAAGGTCAATTGGGAGGGTCAATTAATCTTTTGTGGTTTCTATAGAGCTCCATATCAATCCATAATCCTGAAGGTGAAAGTAGCCACTGGCAAGCTAGTATTGCCCGCGTTGCAAAGTCAGCTGCCAGTGAGAGTGGCTTTGAGTTGTCCTTATCACCTGTGTGATGTTACTGGCCTCATTTGTCTATTGTTTGTAATACTATTACTAAAAGTAGAATGTATTCAATTATTTTCATATAATAAATATTTGGAGGTCAATGAACAATCTGAAACGTTATGACGAAGTCAGTGAGCTGAAGAATTTGGGGACCCCTGGGGTAGTTTGGTTTCCTGGACCATGGACTGTATGACCTACATGAAGGACTCTTGGCAAGGGATGATCTGCACTCACAAAAACAGGGGGAAATGTACTTAGAAAATGACTGGCTCAGCTCATCAGAAGGACTTTGAACTAAAAATCAAGGGGGAGGCTGACCAATCTTTAGCATCTCTAGAACACAAAACCAATCATAAACCCCAAGAAAAGAAATCAAAGGATGAGGTAGGGAGTGATGGGGGGGGATATCAAACACCAAGTAGGAGATGCAGGAAACATACCCATGGACTGGCATAAAAGTCTCAAATGCTTATATACAAATGCTCAAAGTTTGGGGAACAAACAGAGTGAACTGCAAGCAATAGTATACGAGGATAGGTATGTTGTAGTTGCCGTTACAGAAACCTGGTGGGATGAAACCCATGACTGGAACGTACTGATGGGTAGATACAAATTGTTCAAAAGAAACAGATCTACAAAAAGAGGAGGTGGGGTTGCACTATATGTAAGAGATCACTACATATCTACAGAAATGCACATGATCAAAGATAAGAACCCGCTATAATACATATGGGCCAATAAAAAAGGACAAATGACTGACATTGCCATAAGTGTATACCCAACCAATCAGAAGAAATGGTGAAATCTTTGCCAACCAGTTAACAAAGTCATAATGGGAGACTTTAACTACCCTGATATCAATGGGGAGACAAACTCTGCAGCAAGTGGGAGATCCAATAGATTCCTAATCAACCTAGCTGACAAAAGGTAGAGGAGGGAACCAGAGGAAAAGCTATACAGGACTTAATTATAGAGAAGAAGTGATAGAGGGAGTTGAAGTTGCCGGAAACTTGGGTGAGAGTGACCATGTCATATTGCAGTTCAATATAATGCAAACCCAAGCAACAGAGCATAATCTAAACAGTGTCTTAAAATTTAAAAGCGCTGATTTTAACAAACTCAGAGAGAGCCTAGGAAAGATTCCATGGATGAAAATCATAAAGGGGAAAACAATTCAAGAAGCATGAGAATCTGAAAAATATGATCATAAAAGCCAGTCCAGCACAATACCACTAAAAAAGAAAAACAAGAAATCCATAAAGAAACCAGCCCAAAGATCTGTCTAATAAACTGAAAGACAAAAAGAACAAGTACAAAAAAAAAAAATGGAAAGAGGGACACATAACTAAGGCAGAATATCAGCAGATAGTCTGAATCTGCAAAGATGAAGTCAGGAATGCAAAGCTCAGAAAGAATAGACTTGTAACAAAAGTCAAATATAATCTTAAAAGTTTCTTTCAACATATTTATAACAAGAAAAATGTCAAAGAAATAGTCAATCCACTAATTTGCAGATGACAGTAGGCTGGCTCAGGAATAGCCAACACCCTAAAAGACNTCCAAAAATGCTTCCCCCAACTGCATCCAGCTTTGGAGTAAAAAATCCCAAGGCAGAGATATTAATGTTTGCATATCATGCAGCTCCAAGGTTACACCAACTTTCACTTTTAGGCCATGAACTGGGAATTTTTCACTGGGCACTTTGCCAAATCTTTTGTTTTGATTCCATGAGAGAAATGTACAATTCTTAAAAGGAAAAATAAGAACTTTTCAAGCAGTACACATGGGGAAGGACCAAGGACCCCTCAAAGAGTATGGATCCATACATTAAGATATAAAGGTTCATGCTCATGACGCTGGATAGTGAATATGAATTGAATTATAACCAATCTGGTGTTGTAGTCAAGGTGTGTGTGCTACTGTGGCATAGTAGTTAAGGTATTTATCTAAGACCCAGGAATCAAATCACTCCATAGCTAGACGTTGAATGACGTTGTACCAAACCCTCTTTTCTTAGCACACAGGTGTCAAACCCACGGCATCATGTTGCTGTCACATGACATATGATGTTTTTTCCCTTTCGTGGAGCTGGGGTGGCCGTGGCCTTCATGTGATGCATCGAGCCTACTGGTGGCCAGTTTGACACCCCTGTCTTATCACAACCTCTTGTCCTGTCCAGGATTGTTATTGTAGAGAAAGTGAAACAAGAATCCACTGTAAACCATCATGAGTTCCTGGAAAAAAGGTGGCATGCAGAACAAGTGAAAGGAACACTACTAGAGCAAATAGATGAATTTGTATAGATGCTGATTAAAAACATGCAAATATTGGTAGGAAAATAGCAGGCATAACAATGAACATTTATTACAGTCAGAAACCAACATAGCAGCACATCCAGAAAAGAAATATTTATATCTGCAATGCAAAATGTAAACAAGAAGAGAAGGAATTTAAATGCACCAACAAAGGATAAATGGATTAAATATTTTTGAGTTGGAACAGTGAGGAGTCTCAATTCTTTGTCTCTATATGGGGATAACAGTACCACACAGAAGCTAGCAGCAGTGTCAGGAAGAAATGGGGGTGGAATAATTAGGCTGACAAAAACAGCATCCTGTCATCATGCTACAAAAGCCCCATCCCTTTTAGAAAGTATATGTGTTGTGACCTCACACACAAACACACACACACATGCATCCTGAAGAGGTAGAACTCTTATGTAGCAACACAAACTCTGCTTTTATCATTTCGATTAAAGCATCTGCAGCTGTTGACATTTACACAACTTAGCTGCGTTGCAGGATTACCAAATCATGGTTGTGTCAGCGTTCCAAATATCATGCAGGATTAAATCAGAGTCCAAGGCAGAGTCATCCTTAAAGTTCCAATTTAATAAAACAGACATGTTGGCATCNTCTCCTTAATTCTAGGTTGCTTCTCTCCTTGAGTAGTTTCTACCCATTGCTTCTTGTTCTACCCTCAGGTGCTTTGGAGAATAGCTTGAATCCCTTTGCTTTGTGTTATTTATTAGAGTTAGTAAGTACCTCCTTACATTTTAAATACACTTGATGCAGATATTTTGTTTGTTCCGATTTGTATAGTTGTCCATCTCGCATAACTAACTTGCATGCTTGTTTGTTGCATTCAAGGCTAGTTCGGATTACTTTAATATCCAAGGATGGATTAGTAAATACAGTATATAGATAATATATATTTATATTATATTTATTTGTCTACTGTATCATTTGGCTAAACTAAAGATATTTGCTGCCTGGAGCTGAGAAACAGAAAGGAAAATAATGCAATTTCTGGCAGGAAACAGATGTCCTGTTTTGTGTTGTGCTGTATAAACATAATATTTGAGAATCATGCTCCCTATTCGACAAACATTTAAACAAAAGGGTTCATCTCTTTTTCCCCACCAAAGCTCTGTGTTATAAATTAGTTATCTTTTTTATCCTTCTGCAGAAAAAGGCAAAAACTACAATTCCTGCCTTTTCTTTTCCAATTCTGGAAGGAGAGTGGATTTAGACTACCAGTTCAGGTATGTGATCACAACTTAGTCTTGTAGTAAAGTCCAAAATGTTTGTGTTTAATGAAGATCTGAATTAAACCAGTCCTTCCCTTTCTGGCAATGGAAAGAATCTTTTAGGCCTGTATCCTAGACCGGCCTGGTGGGGGGGGGGGAGATATGACACTCCTGTATATCCCCCCACTACAGATGTCAAATTCATCATGTTGCCATCATGTGACGTTTTCCCCATTCACAGAGCTGGAGTACACATGGCGAATCCAGCCCAGGTGTTCCACTGGTTAATTGGGAAGTAAATAAGGGAAAGGGGATTTTTTTGGCCTGTTGTGGAAGAATCAGGGGTGGGTTCCTGCCACAAATCTACAGTGCCGTTTAGAACAGGTTCCAGCTCCCTCCCCCCGCCCATCCATATATCATTAAGATGAAGAGCGAGAGAAGGAATTCTGGGAGTTGAAGTGTGCAAGTCTTAAAGCTGTCAAGTTTGAACACCCCTGGGTTTTTTTTTTTCTAAAGGGTTAGAGGAGCAAGAGTCTTGTAACTTGACAGCTTTAAGACTTGCACACTTCAATGCCAGAGTTCCTGAGTCAACATGACTGGAGGAGGAATTCTAGGAGTTGAAGTCTACAAGTCTTAAAGCTGTCAAATTTGAACACCCCTGGGTTTTTTTTCCCCTAAAGGGTTAGGAGTGCAAGTGTCTTGTAACTTGACAGCTTTTAGACTTGCATGCTTCAAATGCCAGAGTTTCTGAGCCAACATTTTGGTTGCTAAGCAAGAGCGTTGTTATGTGAGTTTCATCACATTTTACAAGTTGACCACACCCACCCAGTCACATGGCTGGCAAGCCACTCCCACAAAACAGGCCATACCTACAGAAAAGGTCCTAAAAAATTTGGAAACCCACTACTGGGAAGAATATAATAAAAGTATATGAGTTAGGGATGCTCCATGGAAGCATATTTTTGCACCCTTCACCTATGTCTAATCCACTGATTGGCACTTCTCCCACCTTTTTCACTTAAGTACTCACAATAATTTTGTTTCATTTCTATTTAAATATGTAGGCCACAGAAATCATACTCCTTGACAATTATGTAAATTTGGTAAATATGGTATTGTGAAGATCACCCTAACCCCAACCCCGTTCATGAATATTTGAAAAGGAGATTTCTCTACGAAACCAAATATAGCTAGCGCTCAACTTACAACAGTTTGTTTAGTGACCATTACAATGGCATTGAAAAAAGTGACTTGTGACCATGGCAGCATCTCCATGTTTAAGAGATCGAAGCAGGAACGACGTGAGAGCCAGGACTTCAACAAGAACAGATTTATTGGAAACAAACAGGAGCTGACAGCGATTCAAAACATCAATTTCCGCGCCAAGGTATTTATACGGACTTTGTTTAACGGGTAACCAATGGGAGGCCGGGTAGCGTCCAGCAATTGCTGACGCAGTACCCTGGCCAATCAGAACGGTTCGGCTGGCTAGAAACAGTCTATGCTGCGCCTCAGCCAAGCAGGGCTCAGCATAGACTGTTGCTGGCCTCCCGTCATAAGTGGAGGATTTTATTAATCCTCAACACCATGGTCACATGATCAACATTCAGATGCTGGGCAACTGACAGTTGGGGTCACGTGATCACCTTTTGCAACCTTCTGACAAGCAAAGTCAATGGGGAAGCCGAATTCACTCAACAACTGTGTTACTAAATTAATAGCTGCAGTGATTCACTTAGCAACTGTGGCAGGAAAGGTCGTAAAATGGGGCAAAAGTCATTTACAGGTGGCAACTGTCCAAGTAGCTAATTGGGCTCAACTCTGGTCATCTAATGCTAATTGTCTTTCTAATGCTTCAATCCTAGGGATTTTAGGATTGAGTGTCAGGGACTGTAAGATAGATGAGTTTCTCAGCTGAATTATTCTCAGCCTCAGGAATTGTCTCTGCTGCTGAATGCAACCCTATCAAATTTGAAAATCAGCTCCTTGGAAATTCCCCAAAGGAAGTGTAGCAGGGTGTGGACCTTTTTGCTTTGTTTAAACAAACACAGCCCATTGTGCAGAAATGTCACAACACTCCGAGAGTGCTTTCCCTGTAAATCTCAATGCGCACTTATGTCATATACAGATAATCCTCAGAATCAGAATTAAAGCTGGAAGGGACTTTGGAGGTCTTCTAGTCCAGTCCCCTGCTCAGGCAGGCGCTTCTTGATTTACAACAGTTCATTTAGTGAGCAAATGAAGTTATAAGATTAAAAAGGTAACTTTTTAAGACTGTTTTTCACACTTAGGACCATTGCAAGCACCCCCATGGTCATGTGATCAATATTCAAACATTAACAACTGACTCATATTTATGACGGTTGCAGTGTCCTGTGGTCATGTGATCCCCTTTTGAGACTTTCTGACAAGCAAGATCAATGGGGAGGCCCGATTCACTTAACAACCATGTAACTAACTTAACAACTGCAGTCATTCACTCAGCAACTGTGGCAAGAAAGGTCATAAAATGGAGCAAAACTCACTTAATAAATGTCTTACTTGGCAACAAAAAATTGGGGCTCAGTTGTGGTTTTAAGTTGAGGACTACCTGTATTTAGAATACCCAGAGAAACCCAGTAAATTTAAAGTAACGGCAAAAGTTTACTGGTTACAATATAGATGTGCTTTTCCTTACTTGCACAGGAACATGGATTTGGGAGGTAAAAATTGATCCAGAAGTCTGCCTATTCTTTGTCTTTGGATCCTGGAAGCTTCTGTCCCTGTGGCTAGTGCCTGGCAGCCTAATGAAGAAGACTGTGTATAAGTTGATTGCCAAGACTGGCAGCTGCTGGTGGGATTTTAGTGGGGAGGGAGGGTTTAGACAGGAATTTTGCCCTTTTTTTTACTTCCTTACCTCCCTGCTCCATCTTTAGATGTGGCAGCTTTATCCTAGTCCCGTGATGGTGCACCTATGGCACGCATGCCACAGGTGGCACACGGAGCCATTTGTTAGGACATGTGAGGCATTGCCCTGTCACTTGGCCAGCACTCATGTGTGTGTTGTCCAGCTGACTTCAGCCTTCTTTTCCCCCTCCCTGATTTTATGTGAGCCGCCCTGAGTCCCCTCAGGGAAAAGGGCGGCCTACAAATGTTAATAAACATCTCAAACATCTCAAACATCTTTTGAGGCTGTGTTTCGCCCTCTGGAGGCTTCCTTGAACCCTCCGGAGCATGAAAAACTGGCCCCACGGGCAAACCGGAAGTCACTTCAGGTTTGCTCATAGGGCTGATTTTTGCCCTCTGGGGCCTTCAGGAAAACCTCCTGAAGCCCCCTACGGACAAACCGGAAGTCACCATTCCCAAATTACCAGTTTAGGGCTAGTTTTTCGCCCTCCGGAGCCTTCAGGAAAGCTCCTGAGGCCTCCGGAGGGCATCTGGAGGGGAGGAGGCTGTTTTTGCCCTCCCCAGGCTTCTAGAAAGCCTCTGCAGCCTGAGGAGGGTGAAAAAACCATGCCAAAAGTATGGGGGGCGCTGGTTCACGCACTCATGCATAGCATTATGGATATGGTATCCCCGCGGATGACCCACCCACGTTCCCCCCGCTTTTGGCATGAGAGCCAAAAATGATTCGCCAATACTGTCCTAGTCTGACATATTATCTGCTTTCCTTTCATTAAACAGTGCCATCTAGTGGGATCCAGGAGGTATGCCTTCTGTGTTTTAGTGCTTATCATATGGCACATGTTGCCTGGAATTTGCTGTGGGAGGTTCAGCAGGTGCCAAAGAGAGCGAAGAAAAATATTTCTCAACCTTGGCAGCTTAAAGATATGTGAACTTCAACATAAGTGCTAGGGGATTTTGGGAATTGAAGTCCACTAGCCAAGAGGGTCATCTACAGAATGAACTGGCTGGTGGAACAGACTATAATTTTAGAGATCAGCAAGCAAGATTGGCTAGAAATACTGGAAACTCAGAAGTTGAGAAAAGAGTTGTTTTTCCTTTGTTTAGAATCTCTCATCACTCTTGCATTTTAATTTGATTCCCTCAATTTTTTCACATAAACCATCATGTAGTGAATTGATTGCATTCCTTTGCTATCTGAACTTGTGCTTAAACCATGTCTTCAAAAGTTATGTTTTTGAGCCAGTCGTCAATCAGTCACAATTATTGTTCATTACAGGGTCATTTTTTCAATATATTCTTATCTTGTGCTCACCAATCTACTTATGCTTTCTAGCAAAATATTTTTCTCTCTTACTTCAAGTTAATTCAGGGTGTCATAATATGTCCCCTCAAAATCTTCCATCATCTTTCTTTCATTGGAAGTTAAAAGGGCAATTATCACCAACCTAGGAGTTTCTACTTCAACCATTTTGGTATCATCACAACAACCTAAACACCAATGTATACTTCCTGAATATCTCTCAGACTTTTCATACATGACTATGCTTTCACTTCCCTGAACATATTAAGGACCTCCATAACATTATTAAGAAGAAATGTCCTAACAGTGAGGATAATTAACCAGTGGAACAGTTTGCCTTCAGCAATTCTGGGTGTTTCATCACTTGAGGTTTTTAAGAAGAGACTGGACAGTCACTTGTATAAAAGGGCATAGGGTCTCCTGCTTGAGCAGGGGGCTGGACTAGAAGACCTCCAAGGTCCCTTCCAACTCTATTCTTATCAGAGGTGGTATTCGGCAGGTTCTGACCAGTTCTGGAGAACCAGTAGCGGAAAATTTGAGTAGTTCGGAGAACTGATAAATACCACCTCTGACTGGCCCCACCCCCATCTATTCTCTGCCTCCCAGGTGATTGGGAGGAAATTGAGATTTTGCAATAACCTTCCCGTACCACGCCCACCAAGCCGCACCCACCATGCCATGCCTACAGAATTGGTAGTAAAAAAAAATTGAATCCTACCTCTGATTCTGACTGATTGACTTTAAGATCAATTACATTCTTGCTCCCTCTCTTTTGGGGGGTCTTCC